GTGCAGGTAGCAGTAGCAACGGAGACAGCAAGCAGGGCCGCTGCCATTTAGACTCGGGCCAGCGCAGAGCTAGCCTGTTGCATCGGACTGGAACACATTCGGTCGATCATCTACTTGTCAGCGGCCCAATAGGCACGCCCTCATACGACACCTCTGTCGAGTCGCTGAGGATCCTCACGAGCTTGCTCAGCATCGTCATCACCATCCTGTTCTGTTGCAGCACGATGTGTAGATCGGCACTCCGAGCCTCCCCTCGAAGCCTCTCCATCCCTGCCACGAATTGGACAATGTCGACAGACCCGCAACCTTCTAGATCCAACAACACAAAAAACTGTTTTGCGTCTTCGATGTCGACGCGCAGCGCGGAAAAATAGTCGATGATCTCCTCTCGTTTCAAGCTCTCCTCGAACTCTTCGAAGGTGATAATGTTGTCGCGATTGCTGTCCATGATCTTCAACAAATCGAGAAGCTGAGTTTCCTTCGCTCGATCATCGAGCCGCTGCTTCTGCACCGCTACCATCCGATCGTTCTTGGCGAGCTCAATAGCGCTGTCGACGAACAGGCCATTCACTACATTCACCACCTTCGCACGCGGCCGAACACCAATCACAACGAGTAGCGTGATTACGTGTAAAATCCATTACTCTGGCCGAACACTAACCCACTGCCCCGGATTATCGTTACCCCCCCCCCTTCCCACCGAAGTGATTATTATCCCAGGCGAATTCAGATTTGGTCACGGAAGAGAAGCGGCAAGGCCGAACCTGTGCATCGCGGGGAAAAGTTGCGAGCCGAAGCTGCTCTCCCTATTTTGAACAACAAAGACTCCTAAGGATTCCGATTGATTTCCTCCGGAATCCGGTGGATGTCCGAGGGAGAATCCGGGATTTCCGGCGATTCATTTGGATTTCCAAAAAGAAATCCTACGGATGTCCTCAGGAATCCTATGGGTTCCCTATGGAGTCCTAAAACAATCCCATGGGATTTACAACGAATCCTTTGCATTTCATACGGAATCTTCCAGATCTCCTATGGAATTATATGGATTGGTTTCTGAAAGCCATCGGTTTCTACGGAAATAATTTGGAATCCCCCTGTTAGTCTTTGGGAAATCTACATGAATCATTGGGAAATCCACACTGTCACAAGGGTTCGTTAAACATCCCTTGGGTTCCTCCGGAAATCCATACGATCTCTGAGGAAAAAATAAAAATCCTTTCGACATCCATCGGTTTCCGGAGGAAACCCATCGGATTCCGGAGGGAGTCCAAACGATCCCTTAGGAAACCCATTGGGTTCCTAAGGACATCCTTCGGATTCCTTAGGACAGCCATGAGATTCCTGAGGACATCCATATGAATCCTCAGGAATACTGAAGGTTCCATTTGGGAAGTCCATAGGACTCCTGTGGAAGCCCACAAGATTCCAGAAGAAATCCATAGGATCCATGAAGGAATTCCATACGGTCCCTTAGGACATCCATCGGAATCCTTAGGAAACACATCAAAATCCAGAAAGGAAATCCATTGGATTCGTTTAGCAATCCATAGGAATCGGACATCCATCGGATTCCCTTAGGAAATCCATAAGAATCCTCAGAACATCCACAAGATTCCTTAGGAAACCCATCGGAATCCTTATGACATCCGTAGGATTCCTTAGAAAACCCATATGATTCCGCAGGAGATCCATATGATTCCTTTGGGAATTCATTGTAAAGCCAAGAACTCCATAAGATTCCTGAGGACGGTGCGCCAAAATGGGGCGGCGGTACCATGCGGACCCTGCCACTGGGACCTTCGGTGGAGCTCCCTCTGGAGCCACGAACCGTGTGAGAGGTGTGCCGACATGGACATGCGGAAAACAGATGTAGTGATGGGAGGAGAGGCACGGATGGGAGATGGGGGGGGAGTGGGCAGCGGGAGGAGTGAACGCGGGGACCCTCTCGTCAAAACGAAGACCCAACACCACAGGACGGTTGGGAAAAAACACAGAGATTAGCCGAACAAGCGATTACGGAAACAGCCCAACAAGTGATTAGAACATGCTAATTCACCACCGAGAAGAGGGTGAAAAACATGAACACAACCAAGACAGCCTGCATGACCCAGCCAGGCCCGCTCATCAAGTTTGAGGCCTCGCCCCAGTTGATGCCTCCAGACATGCATTGGAACAGAGTGTACATGGTCTGGAACAGTGAACCGAACAGGAGGCTTACATCCTCATGATCGGTAGGCACTTGATTGTCAAGGGAATCCATGTAGTCCGTGGCGCCCTGCGTTAGTATTATGGAGAAGGCGTAGATCATGCCAAGCAATATTACCAACAACCAGAATAACGACTGCAGCGTTCCCATAATCATGAGCAGCAGCACCCGAAGCTGTGCGATAAACCTCACTGTGCGAATGACGCGTATGATGCGGAACATCCGGACGAGCCTCCCAATCTTTGAGAAGAGTACACCGGACTCTGTATTGCTGTGGTTGAGCAGCAAGTCGACCCAGGCGGCAACTATCAGGATCAAGTCGAACGCATTCCACCAACGCTCGTCATTATCGGTGAGGAACCTGGAGCGGTAAACCGAAAGCCGCACGATGATTTCGACTGTGAAGACCATCGTGAACACTACTTCTATATGGTCGAACCACTTAGATGTTGTGTTCGAGGTGGGCCGTAGCTGCACTTCCACCCCAATCACCAACGAGTTGAAAACGATTGCGAGGGTGACCATGCAGTCAAACCAGCGAGACTTCACATACTTGCCCAACCCAGAGCCAAACTCCTCGGGCTTCATGCGCTTTATGAGTTCCTGTTCCCTCGAAACGGTCAGCCTCCTCGACGCCTTCCTGAACAGGCTCCCGTTACTGCTCCAGCTTTCCGTCCCGCAGTCCTGTTTACTCCCTCGCTTTCTGTCGTGCGTGATTTGATCTTCGTCGAAGGAGCAGTCCCCGCAAGGTCTGCTTGGTGAAGGGGGCTCGTGGACCTGACTCCGCGGCGTGCCCACTTGGGCCGCCTCGTTCTCGCAGCTCCTGTCGCTGGCATCTGGTGGCTGGGTACCACGCTGACCTAGAAGCCTCCCAGATGGGGTCCGAGTAGATGGAGTCGGAGGATCGCGCCGCATCACCGATGCATCGGCGACGTCGGCGATGCACCGGCGCCGCTGGCGTAGAAAATCAGGATTCACCTCTTGCATCGGCGATGAGGCACGACCCTCCGACCCCATCCACTCTGGTCCAATCTGGGAAGCCTGGATGACCGCCGCGGCTTCGCGGCGAATCCTGTGGCACTGCCGCGGCCACGGGGCCCGACGGCGTCTGGTCGAACAAGCTCGAGGGCCCGCGCTCGAAAGCGCCCGACCGCTCCTTGTCGAACAAGCTCGAGGACCCGCGCTCGAAGTTGGCCCCTCGAGCCTGCACGAGCAACAAAAGGGACCGACACAACCCGTCGGAACTCCGCGCGACTTTCTTGGATCTGCGCTGGAGCTCCCTGGCGGCGCCTCTGGCGCCGCTCCTGGCGCGGTCCGCGCGCCAAAGAAGGAGGGCCCGGCGCCGATCCGAGAAATCCGTGCGGACCTCCCAAAGATCATGTTCATATCTTTGTCCCCCCCCCGAGAGCCAGCCCCCCAGCCAATGGGGCCAGGCCCTCCACGGGCTTCGCGACCCGCTGCCAGTCGAGCGCCATGGCGACGCCGTCCAGCTTGGACTCCACCCGCTGCATCCACTCGGCGAGCTCGTTTTGCCCGTCTGGACCCACGCCCACGCCGACAGCCTCCCGAAGAGCGCGGCGCAAGGTGGGAGAGACGCCCGAGAGGCCGCAGAGGCCGAGACATCTGGGTCCCTCTGAGCCGATATGGATGCGGCGGCTTCGTGTCGTGAGGACCCTGGCGTTGTTTTGTTGTTGTCCATGTATAAAACAGCGTGGATGGTTCAACCTTCAACGATCGGCGACTTTCCGACCGCCAGATCGTTCCACATTCACCGACGGCGTTACTGCGGCATGCAACCTTGAACGCCCGCGCCAGCGTCGCAGCGGCGTCGACACGACACGAACCCAACGCATGGAGGTTAGGGCAAGTTCTGAAAACGCGCACGAACGGCCCGCATAAACAAAAACATTGACAAAAGACGACACGCCACGCGCAACGTGCAGCGGGTTCCGGGAGCCCGAACTCAGAAACAAAAAAAACATATCTTGGAGGACCGATTTCTCGTCACGGCTACATCGTCAAATGGTCTTGGTTTTAACCAAACACCCGGGGGAACAACGGGCGTGGATTACTTGCGTGGCCACTGTGTCCCTGCACGTCGCGCCTAGAGGTTTCTCGGCGAGCTGAATGGGCGACCCCGGTCATTCGTCGCGCCTGTCGCTCGCGTGCGACTGCTGGCGCTGGCGCGACCAGGATGTTCCCTCGCCTCGCTCGCGGGGCGGTGCGCGAACGATTCTCGCATAAACCCGCGGGAATGGCGAAAAACGCGACGCTTGATGGCGCGCCCCGGCGCCAATAAAAGGAGCAGTAATGGAACGCTCTCGCGCGGTAAAAGGGCGATATATGTGCACGTTGAGAATGAAGGACGGCGCGTTGTGTGGGACGCACAGGGACACAGTAATACGATACGTCCTCCTTGGAAGCGCGCGTCCGACGCGAAAATATAGTATACCCATTTTGTAGTCGTTTCTCGAGCGGTGAGGGCAGAAACCGCCCGCCACGACGCATACACTAGAAGATGTCTCGGTACGCGCGTCGCCCCTGGGGGGTGACGCACAAATCGTATAAGTATGTTGGGGTGACGCCAATTGGGGGAAATCGCCAGGTCAGAAGCCGCAGCGCAGGCGCCGCAATGATGGCGGGTTGTTGCTGAGCGCGCGGCGGGGAAATCAATGCGGCTGCGTTCGCGGCACGGCGCGAGTCGATGCTGCCCGAAAGAAAATTGTTCGCCGGCGGTGCCATGACAAGCACCGCCATTCATTGAAGGCGGCCTGCGGCCGCCAGGATTGCGAATATTGGTATTGAGCTAGCGCCGGCAGGAAAGGGGAGGGGCGGGAAGGAGGGGGGGAGCGCGAATAGACAGGAGAAGGGAGAAATGGAAAGGGAGGGAAATCCAATGGCCCAGACAAGGGCGACGAGGCGACGATGCAAAGCAGTGCCCTGGCACTGCTTTGAGCGTTTTCAAGCAGCTTCAAAGCAGTGCCCTGGTACTGCTTTGAACGTTTTCACAGGGGGGTCACATGCGACATCGGCTGACGATGACGATGGTGATGCTGACGAATATCAAGATGAGGAAGATGATGGCGATCATGATGATGATGAGGATGATGGTTTTCCAGCGCGCGCTGTCCGCAACTGCGGCTGCCAACGCCATGCTGCGCTGGCCCGCAACTGCGGCCATCACCAACGCTGCCACCCGTTGCTCCACGGGGCGCGCTCGGCCGACCGCCCGTAGGAGCACGCGCTGTGCGCGGGGCCCCACTCGCCCCACTCGGCATTGTCCGCAACTGCGGCGCTGTGCGTGGAGCCCCACTCGGCCCACCCGCCCCACTGAGGAGGCGAACCCTCGGCGGCGTTGTCCGCAACTGCGGCGCGATCACAACGCTGCCCGCCATCAGCGCCCCCCCCCGTCGACCGCGACTCGGACCAGTCCTGCCATCCCGTCGCGGGATCCACTTTGACCGAGCGCCGCCCCCACTCGGACCGCGCGCCGCTGCCGCCGGCGCCGCCAGACCCAGCCGCCACTGCGGCGGCAGAAGTCTTAGCCGCAACTGCGGTTCCCATCTGGGTCTGGGCGCCCTTCCCCGCAACTGCGGCGTCCGCGTCGCCGCCCATCTTGCCGCCTGTCTTGCCCTGCCTGGCTTTCCCCCGCTCCTCCTCCTTCTCAAACCTCCCGGCGGTTCTTCGAGGTGACCTGCGGCCCGCGTCGCGCGCGGAAGCCACCCAGGGGGGGGGGGCGCTCCGTTTCGCGCCTTGCCGAAGGCGCCTTGCCAGATCTTGTCGTCGAGATTGCCTTGCTTGACTTCGAAGGGATCGGGCGCCCACTCGCCTTACGCGCTGCGCGCCATCCTTCGATGGAAGTCCGAAAATGCGACCGCGGACCCGTCGGGTGGCGTTAGGAAGGCGCGCATCATGTCTTCGACGGGCTCAGCCTCGGGCGCGTAGGTCTGCGGCGGCTTCCCGGGGCCATTCGCGCAGTCGCAGACACGGAAAAGGATCCTACCGGGTCGCCAAGAAACCGCCCTCGCGGTCTCGCAGGGCGCCCAGGCCATGGTGAAGCAGTCCCCAGGACAGCTTATGAACAGAATCGCCATGCTGTCTGGCCAGGGCCGGCCTCCCGCCGTCTTCCAGGGGGCCCGCGCGGCGACGCCCGGGCCGATTCCGCAGCTGCGGCGCCGGGGCACAAGCTGGAACATGCGCACGTTGAGGTCGCCCACGCAGACTCCCACGCCCCGCTCCTGGACGTAGGCGACGGATTGGTTGTAGAAGTCATGGGGCTTCTTGACGCCCCAGTCTTGGTTGGCCAAATTGTGGTGGGCGCGCGCCGCCAACACGTGGGAACCGCTCCCCAGATGGGCCGCGGCCTGGCCCAGGTCGATGCGCACCACCATCGCCTTGGAGTACTTGCCGTGCCACTTTCGCGCAGGAACCTCCGCAACTGCGGATCGCATCTCCTTCCTCGGCTTGGACATCTCCCGCCTGTGGAAGTGCCCCCCGAAGTCGACGGCTCTAACGCGGCCGCCACTGCGGTCTCTGATACCAACGAGGAGGGCCCCCGAGGGCCCGCCGCCTTTGACGCGCAGGTAGTTGCAGCGGGTCCGAATCTGAGACTTATCGCCCGCAACTGCGGGCGCGCTGTCAATCGCGTCGCGCTCCCCAGAGAATGCCTGGCCTGTCGCGTCGCCGCGCTCGCGCAGGGCAATGATCTGGGCATGGTTCACGCGGGCCTGCGCCCACTCGTCAGCGCGTTGCCTGGGTTTCGTTGCCGTCGCTTCGAAGTTGCCCCCGTAGAAGCCGACCCGCCCGCTTGGGGCTCCGTTTTTCTGCCCCCATGCGTCGACAATGGTGCTCTGCTTCTCAGTCAAACGCTTGTCTGGATGACGGGCGCCCGCCTCTAGGATCGCGTCTTCGACGTTTCTTTCGGCATGTAGTCCTGTGCTGCCGCGACCGCGGCCCCCGCGCCTCCTCGCCGCTCCGCCGCGTCTTCCGCCCCGCGCGCGGAGGCCGTCGAGGACGCGACGGTGCCGTCGTCTTCATCCGCGACTGCGGCGTCGTCGTCATGGCTCCTCTCCTCATTCGCATGGATGAAATCCACCCCGGAGAATCGAGCTCCGCCATGCACGAGGCGCGAAGGCGGCCACGCGCGCGCGACCGCGCCAGCGCCACCTCGAGCCCCGGCGGCTACCATCGCGGCGAGAGGGGAGTTAAGGGGGAAATGGGGCGCGAACGGCGGGGGGTCGGATGGCGGGAGAAGACAAGGCGAGTGGGGGAGCGGCAGAAGGGTGGCCAAGAGGACTGGCGGAGAGGCAGAAGGAGGGCGAGGACTGCAAGGGGCGGATAACATATTATTTCCGCAGCATCTGAAGGGCCGCATCTGCGGTTTGCGGGGGGCGCTCGGGGAAGCGCGCGCCCGCGCTGGACCCCCCGTGGGTCCGCAACTGCGGCCTGCAGAAGGCATGGCTGGGATTGCCGGCGCCATTTACCCGCCCAGGGTTCTCACTGACTCCGAGTGCATGAACTGCGACAGCGCCGAGCGGTTCCCAGACGCCGCGGCCATGGCGACTCGTTGCAGCCACTCATCTATGGCGAACGACCATTGCTCCTTGTGTTCCTCGCACATCACCTCGTCCCAATGCGTATCGAACCACGACCACCCGCCCCCCTCTTCGTCCGAGAGGGCGCCAGTTCCGCTAGCCAGGCGGCCCAGAGCTGCCATCCTGTTTTTCTTGACCTCGAACTCCTCGGGGCTCCGCCGGGCCAGGGCGTGCTTGTTGGCCCGGGCCGCCCCCGCCGCAACTGCGGCCTCCTTCCTGCCCCTCTGCGCGGCATCGGCCTCCCGAGCCTGCTTCTTGATGCCGTGCAGGGCCTTCGCCCCGTCGTTCGCATCCAGCGCCATGCGCCGCCTTTTCGCCGCCACTGCGGCTTCGCGGTCTCGCCGGGCAATCAGCGCTCGTAGGGCCTCGGCGCCCTCCCGCGCCAGCTCTCACAGCGTTTTTTTGTGTTATATTTATATATATATATATATGTATTAAAAGAAAAAACAAAACAAAATAGTTTTTTTTTATATTTTTCTGATTTATTTTTCTCTTTTATTGTTTTATGTTGTTCTGTTTATTTTTCTGTTGGCGCCGTTGCTGCCAGCAATTCTGCGCCAGTTTCTCCGCGCCAAATTGGCGCGGCATATCTTCCACCTCGGCGAGCGCTTCCGTCAAGGACGTCGCCGCTGCCAACTGCTCGGCCGCCTCTGCCTCGACCGCGCAGCCCATGGACACCGAGGCCCCTCGAGGCCCAAGGCCCGCAACTGCGGCGTCGCAATGTTCCGCTAGAGCCTCGGCCCAGGAGGCATCCTCTCGCTCGTAGTCCTCCTCGCGCCCCCCCCTTCCCCCGCCTCCTCTTCGCCCTCCGCCTCGCCTGGCTCTTGGCATGGCACTCCGCCGCGCCTCTCCAGCGCGGCATCTGCGCGCCCGCGTTTCTCGCAAGCGCGCACGAGCCGCAAGGCGTCACTGCATGACCATGTCAAGCGTTTCTGCTCGATGCCCCCCCTCGCCTCCGCGACTGCGGCATCTACTTGCGCTCGCAGGCTAACTGGCCCCCAGACCCCCGCCGCCTCTCGGCAAATCTCCAGATTGCCCGACTAGTCGAATGGCGCTCGAATTCCCACTTTGGGGAAACCCTCCGCGGCTTCCAAA